ACAGACTCGTGTAGAATCGAACACGTTAACAGACTTGAGTAGAATCGTATCATGTTTTATTTTTTTTACAGTAAATCAGCGAGGAGGAAGAAGAGGGAGGAGGCTCAGAAGCTTCCTGAAGTTTCTAAAGAGATTTACTTCGATGTGTCCACGGACCTGAAGACCGTGTTCGGCCCGATGAAGGACGACAGCGCTGAAGGAGAGAAGCCAAAGTGGGACCAGCTGGAGGAGGAAGAGGAGGAGGGAGGAGGGGAGGAAGAGCAGCTCCTCTCAGCTGATCGCAGCAACGAGGAGTCGTCTGGATTTAAGTTTTCCTTCTTCGGAGACGACGCAGAGACAGGAAGTGGACAGACGAGTGAGTTTCTTCTGTTAATTTGAGGATTCATACAGAATATTCTTTTAGACGTTCATATCTTCAAACGTTCGGCTCGTTCAGGAGTCGGGAGCTTCTGGTTTTTGTGTGACTTTTATACTTCTCAAAATATTTAACTTTATTTACAAACACATTCTCATTTAATAATTATTAACAATAAAGTAAACAAAGATTTCTTAAAAAAACATTGTTCTCTATAAGAATCAGCTCATTTTGTCTTCCTATGCAACATTTAGCTTTTAGCTGTCTTTTTGCTGCTTATATTTAATCTTTTGATACATTTAGTTTTTTGTTAGCTTTTTGTTGCTTATATTACACCTTCTGGTCAGCACTTACCTTGTTGCTGTTTGAAGTGCTTCATAAATAAAGTGGTATTGTATTTAGCTTGGTAGAACTGCTGCCTCTCAGCGAGCAGGTCCCCGGTTCAAATCCTGGTCCGGTGGCCCTTTCTGGGTGGAGTTTGCATGTTCTCTCCGTGCTGCGTGGGTTTTCTCCGGGTGCTCCAGTTTCCTCTCACAAACCAAAAACATGCATGTTAGGCTGATTGGTAACTCTGAATTGTCCCGAGGTGAGAGAGAGAGTGAATGGTTGTTTGTCTCGTTTGTCTCTGTGTGTCCCTGTGATGGACTGGAGACCCGTCCAGGGTGTCCCCTCGCACTGTGATTGCTGGACATGGGCACCGGCGACCCCCGTGACCCAAAATGGAAGAAGCGGGTAAAAGATAATGGATGGATAGATGGATGTATTTAGCTTTTAGCTAGCTTTTTGCTGCTATTTAACCTTTTGCTACATTTTGCTTATAGCTAGCCTTTTGCTGCTTTTGGCATTTAACTACAATTTTGCATCTTCCATTTATAAGCTAGCACTGTCGTACTTTTAGCATTTAGTTGGCCTTCTGATACTTTTAGCTAGCATTTGAATTGGATACAGTTTGGCTGTTGTTAATGAAGTGTTGTGCCTAAATTTGCATCTTTACCAACTTCGTCAGCCGTTCAGTTCTGTGTTCACACAGAAAGTGTTTGTTTGTTTGTTTGTTTGTTTGTTTGTTTGTTTGTTTGTTTGTTTGAATGTAAAATGTTTGGAACAGCTGAGTACAAGGCCGAGACGATCCAGGCTCAGAAGGTCTCCTGGCATCAAGACCCTCGTTTCCTTGACAGCAGCTCCGAGGAGGAAGAGGAGGAGCAGGAGGAAGAGGAGGAGAGCAGCGTCGCAGTCAAAGCTACAGAGTGAGAAAATGATGGTTTTAATCCTGTAAATGACTTTAGTTGGATTAGAAACCTGTTTGTGTCCTTCAGGATCTTTCACACCAAAGTGAAGCAGAAAATCTGAGTTAAAAAAACAAAACTGACTTAAACATCAGAACATGTTCATAAATCTGAAGAGGTTTCTGTTGATTAGCAAACAATGAGATATATTCTAATTTATTATGAATAATAATTAACACATTTAGAATCAACTTTGGTCACACTATAATCTGTTTAAATTCAGATTAAATATAATCTGTGTTTTCGGGCTCACAGAAAGGAAACTCCATCACATCCAGACTTCTTCTTCTTCTCCCCTGGTGACATCAGACTGACAGGTAAGACAGAGGTTTACATTATTTAAGCTGAGAGGTGAAAGTTAAACACTCATGTTTTAGAGGGTTCATTTTGTAATCTGTGTCTCGTTTTTCTCCTCCAGAAGGTCCCGGTTTGTTCTGCAGGACGTGTGAGCTGGAGGAGCAGAGGGAGCAGTGGGAGGAGAGCAGGAGCGCGCTCAGGGAGGTGAGATCTGTTCACCTGTCTGAACTCACCTGAGGACTTGGTTCTCACACACACACACACACACACACACACACACACACACAGGTTGAGCTTTTCACTCCACTCAGGTGTTTGCAAAGAATTTCACAATAAAATTACAAATAAAAAGTAAATATTGGTGTTAAATTCACCTGAAGTTTTTGTTCTCTGTTTCTACAGGATTATCGCAAGAAGCACAGAGACGCCCGGAAGAAGCTGAGGGCCTCCCAGAAGAGTTGAGAATTATGGGAAATGTAGTCTTTAATTTATTTTCAGGTCCTAATTGATTTGACAGATAATTAGAACTTTTCTAAAGTGAAAAGTGAAGTCAAGTGAAAGTTTAATCCTTATTTTGTTTATTTACATAGATGTTTAGGATCAAAGATTCTTTAGTTTTATTCATTTTGTTGTTTTTTTTTATCTTAAAACGATGAGCAGAATGACCTGCAGCAATATGTGACAGCTACAAACAAACCAACCAGCTGTAAAAGAAACGTGGACAAAGTAAAGGAAGTCCACTAGTTAAAAAATGTAAAAATATCATCTATATGATTTACTTTTTTACAGTTCAACATTCATTAAAACAATCAAGCTGTTTTGAACATTGACTTCAGTTTGAGTTTTATTCTTAAGAACTTTAGGTGTAACATGCTAAAAAAAATACAAGTATTGAATAAAATGTGCATTTTAAAGAAAGAACAATCTTGATTGGGTTGCATTGTTTTTTCCCAAGAACTTCACAGATAGAGAGGTCGCGGTCGAGAGCTTGTAATTTTTATCAGCTTTAATTGACATTTTTCTGCATTTCATATTGTGATATAAATTCTCCAAATTTTAGGGGCCAGTGTCTAAATTGTTTATTTTGAAAAATTTCAACAGAAGTTCATTGTAGTTTTTAATACAGCTTTTATTTTGGAAACGTTCCGCCGGAAGCTCTATTTTGCGCTTACATTGTGCTTTTATTTTGGAAACGGTCCACCGGAAGCCCGGTGTTGTGTTTAATTTGGTGCCGAAGTTTGCTGCAGTTTCTGAAACTTCATCTGGACCAGAGAGGTTCGGGACCGGGACTCGGGCTGCTTTATGGACATTTCCGTCTCAGGTTCTGGTCGCAGCTCATGTCCGTGAAGGAGACGGACCTCAGCCGAACAAAATGAGCCCGCTCTGGTGCCTTTTGTTGCTGTTGCTTCGGACCGCGGAGCTCCGTCATGTCCCCTCAGCTCCGGGGATCCAGGCGGAGGATGCTGCGGGGATGGAAGCTTCGCCCTCAGCGGACTCGGACGCTCCGGGCTGGGTTGAAAGTTTCGGACTGAAGCGGGTCCCCCGAGGAGCCAAAGACGGGAGCTTCCGAAGAAGAGAGCCCCTTTTAAAGAGCAGTCCGCCCCGCCGACTCGACGACCCGAGCGGCTTCTTCACCACCACCACCCCGCGGACCCTCCGTCACTCCTCCGCCCCGCCGCTGAACTCCTCCGGCCGAGGCTCTGGAGGTCCGGGGCTCCTCAACCCCCTGTTCCCGGTCACAGACGGCTCCTTCTGGGCCTACGCCGTGCTGCTGCTCGCGCTCGTCCTGTTCGCGGCGGGAATCGTGGGGAACCTCGCGCTCATGTGCATCGTGTGGCACAACGTTTACCTGAAGAGCGCGTGGAACTGCATCCTGGCCGGGCTGGCCTTCTGGGACTTCCTCGTGCTCTTCTTCTGCCTGCCTGTCGTCATCTTCCACGAGCTCACCCTGAAGCGGTTGCTAGGAGACGTGTCCTGCCGGCTCGTGCCCTACCTGGAGGTGAGAGTTCAAGATGGAGGTCCAGGGGAGGCTGTTTATTTTCACATCTGTAGTTTTAAACTTTTTTTTAGTGTTTTAATATATTTTTAACTATTTAAACACGTCTGAAGGAGTGGCAGGTTTTTATTTTTATTCATTTTCATAGAATAGATTTGTGCAGTTTACAAAAACACTTTAATTTATTAATAAATTAACAGATTTATCTCTAGTTTGATATTAAGTCAGCTCAAAGTGCAACAGTTTAAAAACAAACTGGTTACAGATTAAATGACAAAACTTACTTTACGGCCCTCAATTCTCTGTTAAATCTGAATAAACAAATACAATAAACAAAATCACTTTATTCTGAAAATATAAAAAAAATTCTACAGTCACTGTGCATAAGTCTTCAGCCCTCTTTACTGTAGTCTTCATGTGACCTCAAGGTTTCCTTTTCAGAAATTCATATCTTTATGAAGCACATATTTATCTAACGGTTGTTAATATCTATAAGTTAAACTATGTTTTGTTAAATTAAAAATATATGTTGAACAGAAACAAAGTTTAAAAATAATAAAATCTGTGTAGGATATTGGCCGTTGGCTAATTTCGAAAGATAAACATTTATAAAAACATTTTAACCACCTATAATAATAATAATATTATTATTATTGTTATTATTATTATTATTATTATTATAGCGAAGAGCTGACCCAGGACCTGAGAGCTGCACTATCCTTCAGATGCTCGTGTTTCTCATACGATGAACACGTTTACGTCTGTTGGTTTAACCTCCTGCTGCCCTTGGGTTAAGTTGACACCAGTAGGTCTTGGCACTGAAGCCTGGGGGGTCATCTCATCAGTTAAACACCCAGCATGCATTTAAAGCACGGTGATAAATGACCTCTTTTTAAATGTGACAGCAGAAAAACAGAAGTAAACGATGTTAAAAGGAGGAGCTGGGATTAATCGTGTGAACTGGGTCCAGGTGAGTTCTGGTGAACTTCAGAGTGGAGCTGATCCAGTTTTAGCTCCCATTAAAAATTCAAACCACCGTATCGGAGGTCAAACCTTCTGTGGAGTCAAACTGCACCTTTTTGATAGATTTGACCAAAACTCCATTTAAACTTCAACATGACGCCCTGACACGGTTCTGGTTCCAGAGTCCAAAGAAAAAATTGTTTATTCAAACGTGACCAGAGTTTGTTTTGAGTTTGGTCGACTGGTTCTGAATGATTCTTCATAAATGGACCTCTGGGCCCACCATCAATGGTTCTTTGTGTCTTGGTTCCAGATGACTTCGGTCCGAATAATTAAGATGTTCTGGACCGTTTGGCCTCTGAGGTTCTGTTTGTGAAGCATAAGGCAGGTCCAGTGGGACCACAACTCTTCTGACCACAGAACCGGTCTGTGTGCAGGACCGGTCTGTGTGCAGGACCGGTCTGTGTGCACGGTCTGTGTGCAGGACCGGTCTGTGTGCAGGTGCAGAGCAGGAGATCCAAACGGTCTCATCTGTGAAAACATGAATGTGACGCAGTGAACGGATCAGAACATCTGGGTTGGACAAGCTGAACATATTTAATTTAATTTAATTTAATAAAGTCTTCTTGATCTATCAGTCATTAAGAAAAGTTTTTAAAAAATAAAGTTGGCTCCAACATGTTCCTCTTTATTATAATTTAATTTAAATAAAGTAAAAATAAATCTATAATTTGTACTTTAAGAGGTTTGGACCTGCAGAAAAGCTTTTCTAGAAGTTGTCTTGAAACAATAAAGTGCTGCACAGGTGAAGACCTGATCCAGTGTAATCTCTTAGAGCCTGGATCCAAACGAGCCCCCAGAACCTTCAGATCCCTGAAGTGGACTTCTGCTCGTTAGTGGAAGCAGCTTGTCTGAATCGGGCCTTAACGAGGTTCTGCCTTCTGGCCCGTCTTCACCTTTTATCATGCTAATGACTGATGCCATTTGCTGCTAATTAATTAACATTTTTCAAACTGCTCTCTTTCCGAGCCGTGTGTTTAAAGCGGGCCGGGCTGCCAGCTGCCCCCGTGTTCTGTTAGTTCAACCATTCTTGTGCTAATTGCAGCTCAGTGTTAATTATCTGCTCTGTTAGAGCTCGTTAAGCCTCTGAGGGACGATCGGTCCAGGTTTTGGGCCAGAACCACCAACTTTCTGCGTGTGAGACTCAGCGAGCGATTCTGTTCTTGTTTCTGCTCTTAAAAGTTTCATATAAACGTTAATAAACATAAAATCTCAACTAGCAGACGTTTAAAAGATGAATTGTTATATAAAATATAGTTTAAACTTTGACCTCATGCAGAATGATGCACCTTTTCACTGAACGTTTCCTTTCACTTCCTGTCAGGTGACCTCTCTGGGCGTGGCCACGTTCAGCCTCTGCGCTCTGAGCATCGATCGTTTCCACGCCGCCACTGGCCCCGCCCCTCATCAGACTCCGAAGGTGGAGCCCTGCGGGTCCATCTTGTCCAAGGTGGGGGTGATCTGGGTGGGGTCCATGGTCCTGGCGGCGCCGGAGCTGCTGCTGTGGCAGCTCCTCCAGGAGCCCGTCAGCCCACTCACGCTGACCTCTGACCTCCAGCAGGGCCCGCACGCAGCCTCACTTATGGCGGCGCTGAGAACTCGCAGTGACGTATTCAAGGTGGACGTTTGCGTCCGCACGCCGTCCCTGGAGCTGCCGGAGAGCGTCTTCGCTCTGGTTCTGACCTACCAGGAGGCCCGGGTCTGGTGGATCTTCGGCTGCTACCTGTGCCTGCCGCTGCTCTTCACTCTGGCCTGCGACCTGGTGACGAGGCGGGTCTTATCCCAGCGGTTACCACGGAAACCGGAGGGTGAGAGGGTGGCTGGCTCCTCCTCCTCGGCGAAGAAGAAGCAGCATGTGAGGGAGCGGCGGCAGCGCTCGGCCGTGATGGCGCTCACCGTCCTGTACGTCACCTGCAACCTGCCGCACAGCGTCTCTAACATCGTCCTGTCCTACGTGTCCGTCCCGGTTCTGGTCCTGCCGGCGCTGGCTCTGGTGGAACAGTTCCTGCTGTTCGCTCGATGTTCTGCCACGCCGGTTCTGCTGCTGTGCCTGTGCCGCTCTCTGGGCCAGGCCTTCGTGGACTGCTGCTGCTGCTGCTGCGAAGAGTGCCTCCCCGACACCAGCTCCTCTTCGTCCTCCTCCTCCGCCTCCACCGCCGCCACCTCCGCCCTGTCCTCGCCCACCTCCCCCTCACCCACCTCCCTGTTCCCCCCCAGCAGGGAGGAGGCGATAAAGAGCGGGTCGGCTGCAGAACCGGACAGAGAGAAGGACCCTGCAGAGGCCATCGGGACGCCCTGCTGAGTCCTGGACCCGTGTCCTGTTTCTGGTTTTGCTCGTTTTCTCCAACGTTTCTCTAGAGCAGGAATATTTAACGAGATTACTCAGGGGCCACAGTTACTGAAAGCCACGTGCTCAGGGGCCGGACATCCAGCAGTTATTGTCATAAAGTTTGTTTTATGGTTTAAAATCTAGTTTGATTTAAATTGAAGCCATTGTTGAGCCGAACTGAGCTCACCTGTGGGCCTGATTTGGCCCCCGGGCCGCCAGTTGAACAACCCTGCTCTAAAGAATCAAAGACTGAGCCTTACCTGAAGGAATGCATATCACCCGCCTCACCCCTGCGTTTTACACCCAAACAGCGTTGGGGAGGACGCTCAGCTACTACCACTCAGCTCAGCATCTGTCCGCTGCAGCTGGACGTGTTGCTCGATACCAACACGACCTCCGGTTCTGGGAAGGACCCAAACTCATCAGTTAGTTAGAAAAATATTATTCGTTCTAAAAACTTGACCTTGTTAGAAAAATGTTTTTTTTACTTGTAGATTTTTAATAACAGAAATTATTCAAAGTTTTTCTCGGCTCTTCAGTTGCTGATTGTTTTATTTTTATAACGATTTGGGAAAATAGAATAAATCCCAGTTAGTAAAGCGTGTAATGGTCCTTTAAACAGATAGTTTAGTGATGTGCCGTATAGTAATCTTTGTTCAATGATGTCGATTCAATTAGTGGTTTTAAAGAGCTCGTTGTTGTTTTGCTGTTTTTTGTATAATTTAGGTGAAAATTGTTTAAAACTCTTTCGGGACGTCGTGCACGAAGACAAAACTCTTCACTTGAGGACGATTAAAAAGACTTTTACAAGTAAAGGTTCTGAAATGAGCTTTTTCTGCTGTTTTCTCACTGTACGTTTTAATAAAATGTGATTTTTATTTCAGAAGTTACCATTCCTGGTTTTTATATTTTATAGGAAAAATCTGCAGTTTATTAAAATAAACTCGGTTATTCCTTGTTCAACCTTCAGGAGACACATTTAGATGTTCAGGGATCTGTCTGAAGAGTTTCAGTCAGGGTTTAGAGCTCATCATAGCACAGAAACAGCACTAGTAAAAGTAACTAATGATGTTCTCATGGCCTCAGACAATGGACTTGTGTCTCCACTGGTCCTGTTAGACCTCAGTGCTGCATTTGATCACAATATTTTACTACAGAGACTTGAATATGATGTTAGAATTACAGAAACAGCTCCAAAATGGTTTAAATCATATCTATCTGATAGATTCCAGTTTGTAATAAAACTTCTTCATACACCAAAGTTAGTCATGGAGTTCCTCAGGGTTCAGTGCTTGGAACAGTACTCTTTACCTTGTATATGCTTCCATTAGGTAAAGTTATTAAACAGCATGGGATAAATTTCCATTGTTATGCTGATGACACACAATTATATTTGTCCATTAAACCCAATGAATCCAATCAGCTACTTGGACTACAAGCATGTCTTAAAGACATAAAAACCTGGATGACCCTTAATTTTCTCCTGTTGAACAGACAAAACTGAGGTTTTGGTTTTTGGACCTGAGCACCTTAGGAATTAATGTTTCAGTCTTTCTCCCTCCTTAGACGAATTAATCTGTCCTCCAGCTCTAATGTTAAAAATCTTGGTGTTATTTTTGATCATGTCTTTTATCCCCCACATTAAAAACGTTACTAGAACCTCCTTCTTCCACCTGCGTAATATCACTAACATTAGAAACATCTGATCTAAAGATGATGCAGAAAAACTGGTCCATGCATTTGTCACGTCTAGACTGGACTATTGCAATGGTTTATTATCTGGGTGTCCAAATACTTCTTTAAAACGTCTTCAGTTTATCCAAAATGCTGCTGCCAGAGTCTTAACTGGAGTTACTGGGAGAGATCATCTCTCTCCAGTTTTAGCTTCTCTCCATTGGCTCCCTGTCAAATCCAGAATAGAATTCAAAATCTTACTTCTAACCTACAAAGCTGTCAACAACCTAGCTCCATCTTATATTACAGATCTTATTGTTCCATATTTTGTATATTTTTAGTATTTTAGTATATTTTTATACTTTGCGCCGCTCCAGGTGGCTGCATGTTGGAGCAGCTCTGTTACTTTCATTTTGAGATTTTGCTTTTGGAAACTTTAATTCCTTTTTTTCTGGATGTAAATCACATGTTTTGGATGATTGTTTCCTCTGGTATCAGATGCTGTGCAGCTGGAAGGATTTTTACTGAAACTTTTTTAGTTTTGGACATTTGTTATGATGCGTAACCATGGCAACAAGGGAGTTTTCTACAGCCAACAGCTGATTAACATCTCAAAAGCTCAAATAATATCTCAACAACAGCCCCAAATCTCAAAAGAATGTTCTGTGGACGCATTCTCATCAACCTGCCAGCTGTGCTCGAGTGCCTGACCACTGAGATCCTGGAACTAGCAGGAAACACGGCTCATGACAGCGGAAGGACAGGATCGTCCCTCGGCACCTACAGTTGGCTGTCCGCAGCGACGAGGAGCTCAGCAGACTGCTGGGAGGAGTGGCCATCGCTCTGGGAGGAGTTCTGCCCGGCATTCAGGCGGTCCTACAGCCCGGGGGAACCGAGAGGCCAGCCGAGTCTGGGTGGACAGATCGGACGGCATCTGCAGCCAGTTTCTTAGGATCCACTGTGGGATGGACCTTTACAAGAGATCCTTCCTGCCTACAGCATCAGCATCTATAACGTCTCTTAATGAAATGAGGATAACGAGTTACAACAACAAATAATTTCCCTCTGGGATGAGCACTTTGTTCTCAGACTGCAGGTTTACTTGTGGTTCCTAGAATTTACAAAAACAGAATGGGAAGCAGATCCTTCAGTTTTCAGACTCCTCTCTTGTGGAACCAACTTCCAATCTCTGTCCATGAGGCTGACACATTGTCCAGTTTTAAAACTAGGCTTAAGACTTTCCTTTTTGCTAAATCCTATATCTGGACCTACCATTCTATGTTCATTTGTTTCTACTTCCTGTCCTCTCAAACCAGCCGGTCAAAGCAGATGGTCTCTTGTCCTGAGTCTGGTTCTGTTGGTGGTTTCTTCCTGTTAAAAGGGAGTTTTTCGTTCCACTGTCTCCACTGTGCTTGCTCAGGATGGGAGACTGCAACGAAGCCAAGATTCAACTTGTCTGCTGGATTCCTTAGATAGAGAACTTTACTAATTGGCTTTTATGTGAATGTTTCTGTAAAGTGCCTTGAGACAACTTTGTTGTGATTTGGTGCTGTAGAAATAAACTGAATTGAAAAACGGAATTGACTCAAAGCTGGAACTTGTTCTGTTCCTTCAGCGAGTCCCAGGTCCACCTGGGATCATCTCCTGGAGGGACAGGTCTGTCCAGACGCAGCTCTGTCCTCGGCCCATTGGGTCGTTTTAATGAACGAGTTGTTGGATTCAGTAAACTCTGTGAGATGTTGTCCTCAGCTGAACCGCTGATCACCAGCACAGCAGGTAGTTAGTAGGTTCATTTTGGGTTCATCATCTGATCGTTACCGCTCGGTCTACGGTCCTCCCTCATCTGCGGTCCTGAACTCTGAGCAGAGACTCAAGAACCAGATCCTGGATCCAGGAGGTCCAAAGGAGTTAAACATACCATACATATAGAGCATTTAAAACAGCAACTAGGCCAACCAAAGTGCTGTACAATAGAAACAAACAGGCACAGCGGACAGGAAAACATAAAATAAAAATATAGATTAAAAAAGCAGCAGATAATAACTAAATGGTCAACACTGTGGACTACAGACAGGATCAAAACAAATCACACCATGTCAAATGCAAGGGAATAAAAGTGGGTTTTCAGGCGAAACTTAAAGACTGTGAGTGTGGGAGCCTGCCTGACATGCAGTGGCAACTCATTCCACAGTCTTGGACCTGCAACAGAGAAAGCCCTGTCTAGTACTTGGTAAAGAAATTGAAAGTTAAACTGCGTTTCTTTTTCAGAAACAGATCCTGTCTAACTCTGAACTCTAGGAAACACCTAACATCTGTGACCTTCCTTCCTTCCATTGATTAAGGTGATATTATTTACATGAACGCTCCTACAAGAACCCTGCAGATGTTGGATGCTGCAGATGTTGGATGCTGCAGATGTTGGATGCTGTCTATCATGGTGCACTAAGATTCATAACTGGCTGTAACTACCGTACCCACCACTGCACCCAGTATTCACTGGTTAACTGGTCACCATTAACTTCACACAGACTCTCTCACTGGTATATTTTCATCTTTAAATCACTTCTTGGTCTGCTGCCTTCATACATCTCCTCCTACATGTCTCTGTGTGAGTGCAGCTACAGCGTGAGCTCTCAGGACATCATTACCTGCAGTGTTCCCTCAGTGAGGACTGAACTAGACAAAAGGGCCTTCTCCTACTCCGCTCCTGTTTCCTGGAATATCTTGTAAAAAGACCTGAAGCTCTCGACCTTGACCTCTAAGTGGCTTTAAGAATCTGTTGGACTCCTGGCAGGGACCTACGCAGACATGTTCCTGTTTTTAGTTTTCTACATTCATCTTAGAATCTAGCTGTTCTTGTTACTGTTTTTGCCATCTTGTTTCAATTTGTAAAAAAAAATAAATCTGTACGCCTCTTTTATAATTGTCTATTGTTGTCGTTGTTGTCATCACTCTTTGTTAAATCAGGTCTCTCTTGTAAATGAGTCCTTGAGGCTCAACGGGATTAACCTGTAGAAATAAAGCTTGAATGAGTTCTCTGCAGGGTAGTTTTAGTTTAAGTTCAGTTCTCCAGGAGCGACTCGGAGTAGAACCTCTGCTCCTCCACATCCAGAGGAGCCAGCTGAGGAGGTTCAGACATCTGATCAGGACCCGTTCCTCAGCTGATCTGGGACACCTTGAGTCCTCCAGAAGAGGTGGCTGGACCTCCCTGATCAAGGTGCTGCCCCTGAGACCTGAGTCCAGAACCGGAGGACAAATTAAATGTTGACAGGACGTTTGTTTCTGAACTTGATCAGATCATTTTTCAGTCTTCCAGGATCCGTTTGGAACCACCAGAGAGACGGTTCTAATCTGGACCCTGTGGGGGGGACGTTTGTTTCTGTTTGTAAAAACAGAGTTTTCCCGGCAGTTCTGATCCGTTAGG